TTTACAACAGCGCACGCATATGGCAACGTGCACGAATAACCTCCCTCGTTACAGGCGAGACACAAACACAACCTTAAACACCCGTTAGAGATAAGTGCAGCCGACTGTAGGAGCCCTGCCTGCAGGACTGAGACGCGTGCTTTTCAGATACATTTGATATCTCAGCTGGGCGACTCCTTTGGCTGCACTGTAGCAGAACAAGTGGGAGTGAAAAAAACTGAAGAAGATAAATGAGTTGGCAAAGCAGAAGCATGAAAGCTACTTTTTTTAAAGTGTAGAGTCCAATTCTAAAGTGTACTGAAAAAGGCTTTAGCCTGTCTGCAGCAACTTTTAAAATCATGTTTGTGATAAACATAGTGACACAATGAGACACCATTATTTACAATTTTCTGAGCGCTATTGTCCTTTTTTAACCCAGTCATTAAGATTTGAATGTTTACATACATTTTAGTCGGGGAGCCAAAGCCCCAAAAACGGGCTGACCCTGAGACATGGACTGCCATACATTTTAGCTGTGTTTTTTCTGTTAATTTTGACTCTAAGAACCAATAATTGGAGGGTCTGCTCTGCTGGAAATATTGTGAAAAAAAAGTTGTGGCCATTTTATTAGATGCACCCTTTATTTTTTATCAGAAAATAGTGAGAGGTGAGTCTTCAGTGGGTTGGGTAGGCTGTCAATAAATACATTCCAGATACACACAACACGTGTGCTGACAACATACACTGACAAAATAACTCTTAAAACACATTTCTACATGATTTTGGCTAAATTTAATATGAAAAAATAGGCATTTTCTCACTTTTTCTCAGTATTTTCATCTTTACTTCACTGGCAATCAACTATTCCCGTAAATTATGACATCAGTCAATATGCCAATCTTTTCACCAAACAGTATATTCATTCTATCACAAAAGATATTAGCTCAGCTCAATATCTGTAAGACTGACCAAGTTATAACCGATTTTGTGATCGCTAAAATCAGTTGGTGGCCATCTTGAAACTGATTAACTCCAACCAATGGTTTTCATTTAATATTTCCTGTTTTATATGTGGTTTATAAGGTATTTTGGTAAGAGACAGAAAAAATGTGTGCATGCAGTTTATGTTTCTCTATACTCATGGGGACTTTGCATCTACTTCCATTCATTTTGCAGTCATTTCTATAACCTAAACCTAAACACCCAAGTACACTGAAAAAAAGGATTTTTGGGTGTACTAACATTTATTTGATTATTCTTTTAAATTTTACAAAATTACCAAAAATTCTACACTGCTAGAATTTACTAAATAAACAATAAGCATTATATTATACAGTATATCTATATTACTGTACAAAAAAAAGTAAATGCTAATATTATTTTACAAGTAATATTTAAGTGCTTTTTCTGGACAGAACATAAACATGAATATATTAAGTAACTTCTACTCTTCTGGGCTAAAGCTGAGGGTGCATGCGCACACAAAGGCTGCTGCTCCTCATCCCCTTACTTCACTTTTCAAGGAGAGGGCAAAACATGGTCGAAATAAAACATAAGTTGTCTGGTTTCCTTTGCTTCAACACATGTGTTGGTGTGCAATAGTTTGATGGCATAATGTAAATGATATTTAGTTGTCAGGGAACAGGGAATGCATGTTGTTGCATTCTGCTGTGTTTGGCTGTTTGTCATGTGACTGCARTGGAGGATTGTGGGWAGGATTCATGTTTGTTGTTGTTAAATCATTTTAGGGAATTGGTTAACATTGTTCTTTCAGCAATCAGTCTGTTGTGTTACTTTAATTTGTGTGTTCATTATTTGTTAACTCTTGTTAAAAGGTTGTGCAGAAGTAACCATAAGTGAGAGTGGTAGGCCTAGTCATCAATAAAACCTGTGAGTTTTACTTTGTTTGTGTTGTTCATGAAGAAGAAGCCAATAAAAGTTCTTCAAAACTGCCACCTGGTGGTGAAATCTTGAACTACAGCATGAGCTACACTTCTCTCTGTAGCTGTGAGGTGTCATGCTACAATATTGTGCTTGACACATGTGCATTGTTATTAAGAACTTGTAAGATTAACTAGAAAAAAATCCTTGTAACAATATACACTTACTTTTGTTAAGTAAATTTAAATGCTATAAATTCACTCATCATTATCTAGTAAAAGTTATTAAGAATATAGTTAAAGGTTTGTGAATAAATCAGGTAAATTTTACTTAATTTGATCAAGTATATGTTACAAATTAAGTAAAATTGACCTGATTTATTCACAAATCTTTAACTATATTCTTAATAACTTTTACTAGATAATAATGAGAGTAAATATTAATTTGTAGCATTTAAATTTACTTGACAAACGTTAGTGCAAATCGTTTCCAGGATTTTCTCTAGTAAATCTTAAAAGATATTTTTACAGTGTACATACCTAACCCTAAACTCAATTATTTGGTCCGAAACCTAACCTAAAAATGGTATCTGTACCCATGGGACCAGACTTTGGTCCCCATAAGGACCATAAGTTGTGAATTGAGTTTAGGTCAGTTTTAGGGTCAGGGATGTACCTGTGAGGTTAGGTTTAGGTTAAAGGGTCAGGGTTAGACTAGTGTGTGTGTGTGTGTGTGTGTGTGTGTGTGTGTGTGTGTGTGTGTGTGTGTG